GAATCTCTCATGGGGAGTTTCTTCATGGCATACTCCACAGCCCTCACCAGAAACGCCACTGCTGCCTGCTGGAACCTCTGCACTTGCTGCGGTGTAATGTCTCCTGCATCAAGGAGCCTGTTGAGTGTAGCTCGAGTAGTGAAGCCGATCACCAGCTTTTCTCCTACGAGAGACACAATAAATCAACAACGTCACCTCATTAAGGTGCTGTATGCGATTCTGGAGAAAGATTGATGCAATATGTTCTCATTCCCAACACCAACATGTCAGTATGAGACTGGGAATAAGACCGGTGTTGAGTCCCTTTAGCAATCATCAACAACCACAATAGCTAACTTGAAAGCACCCCTTTAAGTATCTTCATCACATCAGGGATTGATTGATTGAATACTTTATTAGACAGAAATGCAAACAGCACAAGGTTCAGTCACACATTTGGGCTAAAAGGATAACATAAAAAAGTCCTGTGGACTTGTTTCCATTGTGGTCCTATGTGTGTGATGAGATGAGATTATCAAACTCATAACTTGTCTGCACAAGCAGCCCTCTAACAAACACAAACAGTATGATGTGAGTGAGATCAGTGAGTGGATAGTGTATGTGCATCTGCTGATGTGAAACTTGGAGGATTACCTGGCAGTTGGTTTGATGGGTCCTTATAGAGGATTTCATGCAATTCCCGGTGCTGCTGGCTTCAGAAACTTCGAGAGAAACTTGCGGATGATGAAAAAAGGAACAAACATAGTACATTATTACTAGCATACTGTATTACTAGCATACTGTATTACTAGCATACTGTATTACTAGCATACTGTATTACTAGCATACTGTATTACTAGCATACTGTATTACTAGCATACTGTATTACTAGCATACTGTATTACTAGCATACTGTATTACTAGCATACTGTATCCCAACCTTCCCAATTTACCTCATCATGTAGAAGGAAGATGGAGGACTTCTCTCTCTGGAGGAGGAGGTTGAAGGTGGAGAAGACTGGCAACGTTGCTTGATAGAGCTTACACACCTTCCGGGGCAAACTGAAAACTCATCTCTTTCGACTCCACTTCGAGCGTTAGAACTATTAACGAAGCACTTTTATACTAATAAAGGACTGGCTTACCTAAAGCCAGTTGAGTAGCACTTGAAATGTTTGGTTCTATGAAACCTGATATACTTATATGATTCTGTTTTCTTCAAGGTTGTGTCTTCCTGGTCGAATGTACTTATTGTAAGTCGCTTTGGATAAAAGCGTCAGCTAAATGCAATGTAATGTAATGTAATGAGTAGAAGTACTCAGATCTTGTACTTGAGTAAAAGTAGAAGTACTCAGATCGTGTACTTGAGTAAACGTAGAAGTACTCAGATCTTGTACTTGAGTAAAAGTAGAAGTACTCAGATCGTGTACTTGAGTAAAAGTAGAAGTACTCAGATCGTGTACTTGAGTAAAAGTAGAAGTACTCAGATCTTGTATTTGAGTAAAGTAGAAGTACTCAGATCTTGTACTTGAGTAAGAGTAGAAGTACTCAGATTTGTACTTGAGTAAGAGTAGAAGTACTCAGATCTTGTACTTTAGTAAAAGTAGAAGTACTCAGATCGTGTACTTGAGTAAAAGTAGAAGTACTCAGATCGTGTACTTGAGTAAAAGTAGAAGTAACTCAGATCTTGTACTTGAGTAAAAGTAGAAGTACTCTGATCTTGTATTTGAGTAAGAGTAGAAGTACTCAGATCTTGTACTTGATTAAAAGTAGAAGTACTCAGATCTTGTACTTGAGTAAAAGTAGAAGTACTCAGATCTTGTATTTGAGTAAGAGTAGAAGTACTCAGATCTTGTACTTGATTAAAAGTAGAAGTACTCAGATCTTGTATTTGAGTAAGAGTAGAAGTACTCAGATCTTGTACTTGATTAAAAGTAGAAGTACTCAGATCTTGTATTTGAGTAAGAGTAAAGTACTCAGATCTTACTTGAGTAAAAGTAAGAAGTACTCAGATCTTGTTACTTGAGTAAAAGTAGAAGTACTCAGATCTTGTACTTGAGTAAAAGTAGAAGTACTCAGATCTTGTACTTGAGTAAAAGTAGAAGTACTCAGATCTTGTACTTGAGTAAAAGTAGAAGTACTCAGATCTTGTACTTGAGTAAAAGTAGAAGTACTCAGATTGTACTTGAGTAAAAGTAGAAGTACTCAGATCTTGTACTTGAGTAAAAGTAGAAGTACTCAGATCTGTACTTGAGTAAAAGTAGAAGTACTCAGATCTTGTACTTGAGTAAAGTAGAAGTACTCAGATCTTGTACTTGAGTAAAAGTAGAAGTACTCAGATCTTGTACTTGAGTAAAAGTAGAAGTACTCAGATCTTGTACTTGAGTAAAAGTAGAAGTACTCAGATCTTGTACTTGAGTAAAAGTAGAAGTACTCAGATCTTGTACTTGAGTAAAAGTAGAAGTACTCAGATCTTGTACTTGAGTAAAAGTAGAAGTACTCAGATCTTGTACTTGAGTAAAAGTAGAAGTTAAAAGTAGAAAGTACAAGATCTTGTTCTTGAGTAAAAGTAGAAGTACTCAGATATTGTACTTGAGTAAAAGTAGAAATACTCAGATCTTGTACTTGAGTAAAAGTAGAAGTACTCAGATCTTGTACTTGAGTAAATGTAGAAGTACTCAGATCTTGTACTTGAGTAAAAGTAGAAATACTCAGATCTTGTACTTGAGTAAAAGCAGAAGTACTCAGATCTTGTACTTGAGTAAAAGTAGAAGTACTCAGATCTTGTACTTCATTAAAAGTAGAAGTACTCAGATCTTGTTCTTGAGTAAAAGTAGAAGTACTCAGATATTGTACTTGAGTAAAAGTAGAAATACTCAGATCTTGTACTTGAGTAAAAGTAGAAGTACTCAGATCTTGTACTTGAGTAAATGTAGAAGTACTCAGATCTTGTACTTGAGTAAAAGTAGAAATACTCAGATATTGTACTTTAGTAAAAGTAGAAGTACTCAGATCTTGTTCTTGAGTCAAAGTAGAAGTACTCAGATCGTGTACTTGAGTAAAAGTAGAAGTACCAGAGTGTAGGAATACTCTGTTACAGTAAAAGTCCTGCATTCAAAATGTTCCTCAAGTGAAAGTAGAAAAGTATTCTCATCAAAATATAGTGAAAGTAGCGACAGTGAAAGTAGTCGTTGTGCAGATTGGTCCATTTCAGAATAATATATATGATATGTTTTATAATGATTGATCATGAAAGTGTTCTCAAAGCTGGTAAAGGTGCAGCTTGTTTTACAAATTAGATCAAAGTCAAGTAAAGTACAAATATCTCAAAATTGTACTTGAGTAGAGTACTTGAAGAAGTGTACTTAGTAACTTCCCACATCTGAAATCAGATATGACTTCAAGTCATGTGATCATTTCTTAGTATTTGATCCTTCAACTTGGCCTCAGGAAATGCAAGGACTTCACAGTTTTGGCAACAAGTTTTGGAGAAAGCAAATCGGAGGCTTAAAAAGAGACAGGGAGGTGCATCTTCATCATCTAGCATGCAAGAAGTGTAAATAGAGGACAGTGAAGGAGACGATGAGGAGGTGAGTACCAAACGCTGTCTCCTGGTACTCATCTGAGTAACTCACTCAAAAAGTGATGTGCACCCCTGCTTATAGATACTATCTCTTTGCGTTAGTGAGCCGGATCATTTGACTCGGCTCTCTTAAAGCGCCGGCTGTTTCGGCTCCCAAACGGCTCTTCATGTTACAACAGTTTACCACGGAGCCTCAGTTTACCACGGAGCCTCAGTTTACCACGGAGCCTCAGTTTACCACGGAGCCTCAGTTTACCACGGAGCCTCAGTTTACCACGGAGCCTCAGTTTACCACGGAGCCTCAGTTTCGCCGCTGAGCTTCAGTCTGCAATGTTCAAAACAACAGATAGAGCCAGAAATCTAGGTGTAGTCATGGACTCTGACCTGAGTTTCAACAGTCACATTAAAACTGTTACTAAATCAGCCTACTATCACCTAAAGAATATATCTAGGATTAAAAGACTAATGTCACAGCAGGATTTGGAAAAACTTGTCCATGCTTTTATCTTCAGTAGACTCGACTACTGCAATGGTGTCTTCACAGGTCTCACTAAGAAATCTATTAGAAAGCTGCAGCTGATTCAGAACGCTGCTGCTCGAGTCCTCACTAACACTAAGAAAGTGGATCACTCCTGTTCTGAAGTCTTTACACTGGCTTCCTGTGTGTCAAAGAATAGATTTCTAAATACTGCTGCTGGTTTATAAAGCACTGAATGGTTTAGGCCCAAAATACATTTCTGACCTCCTGCTAAATGATGAACCATCCAGATCTCTCAGGTCTTCAGGGACTGGTCAGCTTTCTGTCCCCAGAGTCAGAACTAAACACGGAGAAGCAGCGTTCAGTTATTATGCTCCAAATATCTGGAACAAACTCCCAGAAACCTGCAGGTCCGCTGCAACTCTGACTACTTTTAAATCCAGGTTGAAGACTTTTCTTTTTGTCGCTGCTTTTAATTGAACTATTCACATCTTAAAACTGCACTGTAACTTTGATCCATGTACTTTTTCTTTTAATGTTTATTTTATTATCTTTTCTTTTTAACGACTGATTTTAAATGCCTTTTTCTGAATGTCTTTCGTTTTTTGTAAAGCACTTTGAATTGCCTTGTGTTGAAAAGTGCTATATAAATAAACTTGCCTTGCCTCACAGCTACATGCATACACTGATGTCTTCCTACCACTACCTGCACCCAGGTCATCAGCGATAGTAATTCGTGAAATCATTCTCACACTCAACATGTAGGACTTTGTTTTAGGTAAAGCTAAAAAATGACAAACATTTTAAACTTGTAATCCTCACAAATCCCTGGTAACTACAGAAACCCACAAACACGACTGTAGAACAGAAAGTTGAGGGCAAGTCTGAACATCTTTAATCAGGTAATGCTTTTCTTATGATGAACTAATGATGTGTGTAAAACATGTGTTGTTTCCACAGACAGAGAGCAGGGTCTCCAGCCCCCAGCTGTCTGTCTCTGAAGAGCTGCCGGTCTTTGGGGGAACCTCTAATCTTCAGTAATGACTTTGGACCCCCAGACACAAAGTAAGACTCTGTTTCTACTGTGACCTGAAGAGGATTCAGTTCTTACATCATCTGATCATATAAACTGCTTTATTAATAATAAATACATAAGGGCAGTATATTACAGAAACGCAGTCAGTTTAGTTAAGTAGTAAGATAGCAGTACAGTACAGTGTAAAAGGGCTATTTCAATTTAAAACAATATATACCTTTTTTTTAATTGTTATCATGCCTTCATCTTTTCTTTTTCAGAACAAGGGTTTCTGCCTGAGTGTAACCCTTTGCCAGCTCAGCATATTTTTTAATAGTTAATAATAAGAGTAATAACTTGGTGAGCAGGTGCGGTTGAGAGAGAGCAACACACACACACACACACACACACACACACACACACACACACACACACACACACACACACACACACCACACACACACACACACACACACACACACACACACACACACACACACACACACACACACACCACACACACACACACACACACACACACACACACACACACACACACACACACACACACACACTTTTTGTCTAACACGCTAACACAGTTCTGTGTACTGTTATGTTCTTATGTTGAACATGAATTAATTTACTTTGTAAGTAATTATGGGACATATTTCTTCTTTCATAGCAATTTTCCTTCATACTTTCTTGCCGTGAAATAAGTCTTAAATTCTATTCAAAGCGGTCTTAAAAAGGTCTTAAACAGTCTTACATTTGAGTTGGCGAAACCTGCAGGAACCCTGTACATGGTGGTTTGCGCCTGGCACAAGAATGAAGCGAGTACAGTAAAGTAACACTTTAAAGTACACCAAACACACAGTTGAGGAAAGTAAAGATTCATTGAACTCTTGTTGAGTTCCTTAGCATCATCAGTGATTGTAAATAATTTACTATAGTGTAATCATTCTCACACTCAACATCTTGGACTTTGTGTTAGGTTAAGTACATAAAATACAAACATGTGAAACTTTTTATTCTACAAATGAATTGTAACGACAATAACCCACAAACGCTACTGTAAAACAGAAAGAGCAGAGTAAGTCTGAACATCTTTAACCAGGTAATGCTTTTCTTATGATGAACTAATGATGTGTAAAACATGTGTTGTTTCCACAGACAGAGAGCAGGGTCTCTAGCCCCCAGCTGTCTGTCTCTGAAGAGTGACGGGTCTATGTGGCCACCTCTAAACTTCAGTGATGAACCTGGACCCTCAGACACAAAGTAAGACTCTGTTTCTACTGTAACCTGAAGAGGATTCAGTTCTTACATCATCTGATCATATAAACTGCTTTATTAATAATAAATACAGAAGGGCAGTATATTACAGAAACGCAGTAAGTTTAGTTAAGTAGTAAGATAGCAGTACAGTACAGTGTAAAAGGGCTATTTCAATTTAAAACAATATGTACATTTTTTTTTTAAATTGTTATCAGGCCTTCATCTTTTCTTTTTCAGAACAAGGGTTTCTGCCTGAGTGTAACCCTTTGCCAGCTCAGCATATTTTTTAATAGTTAATAATAAGTAGGGATGCTCCGATCGCCAAAAGCTGTAATCTGTAACCACTATTTCCGGAAAGAGCCTCGAACCTCGTGCGACAATACATTTTTACTCTTTGGTTGGTGCACAGACTCAGACAGAGTCTCTTGGCAACACGATCCTCCAATCAGCATTCGGCCGGCCTGTGGAAGTCCCTCCCTACTCTGGCGCCATCATACGTAATTTGTTTTCGCTAACGTTTCTACAGAAACCCCGAGCTCTACAGTTCCTCATATTCAAATAAATAATGGCGGTGGTAGCGTATGTAGGGTCTTGGCTTGGGAATTGGAAGGTTACTGGTTCGAGTCCCCGAAAGATCAACCGCTACCGAGCTGTCCCTGAGCAAGGCACCGTTCCCCCCGGAAAGCGTACATATGGCAGCCCACCACTCCTATGCAGTATGTAAATGTCCCCTCTGTGGGACGATAAAGGGTTCCTTTTTTGTAATATATAATTCTATGTGTAAACCAGAGTCAGATACACACAATATAGTAGCTGTTGTATTTATGACTGGATTAAGTTGAGTAGCAGCTACAATGTTAGCTTAGCCAACTTTAGTCAAACCAATCTCCATTCAGAAAACAAGCATTTCAAAAGTGTTTTATTTGTTGCGTTGCAGACAGACCTGACAAATAATTAATTCAGGCTTCTTACAGATCAGTATCATTGTGTAGTTATTTTAATATCCTTTTTGACATGTGACTTGCTAAATACGGTGAACTTGCTGTGTCCAACTTTGAAATTATGTTTGGTTTCTTAACTAATAAGAAACCAATGATCTACCGTGCGCTATAAAGGATGTGTTCATCTCAACAGACGGAAGAGGAAAACATCCGGAACAAAAGCTGGACTGCA